CTTGTAGAGTTTTTCTGGTTGAACCAGATTAAAATACATCTTCAATTTCATCTTGCATGCTACACAAATCCCTTTTGTACTTTCTAATAAATTTTCTACAAGGTCTTATACTTCACATAAGATAATCTCTTCTCTACACGTTTCAATACAAAAGTACTTAAGCATTTTGGAAGCCTAGGTTAAGAAACAAGGTACATGATTACATGATATATTTTACATTATTTTATTTGAAATATTTTTCCTATTCAGCAGCTGTAACTCAATGAATAGCAATTTAAAGTACAAGAACTACACTGAAAGAGTTTCTTGTGAAACTCCAGGAGTGACAGGTACTTTTAGCTTGCATGCCTAAGTAAAGGGGGGTTTTAAGGTTGCACACTATCCGTCTGTCCATCCCTCTCCTGATTGAATTTTTACAGTGTTTTGGTCCATTTCCCATGGATTGGAAAGAGGGACAGAAATCACCACTGACTTCTCTTCACCTCTCAAGACAGTGTGGAGGAGAAGGCTTCCTTTCCATTGTTCAACCTCTCTGTGCTCAAAAGCTTACTGAAGGACATGGGCAAACGATATTAAACCAAAAATCTACCACATCAGTCAACAGAAAACAGAAAAGCTGCATTGCCATTGCACACACCCCACTTGGAACACTATGATAGAGGAGATATTCAGGTGGGTGGGGAGGTGTTATAAAATACTGGCAGTATTTTAGTATAAGCATTTATGAAAACGTACTTAAAAAGAACTTCAGGAATTTTAAAGCATTGCTTATGCCACTACAAAGATCAGACTACACATTAAAGGCTTTGTGGAAAAGGCATGCCTTGTCTGAAGTTACTTATGAATTAATGTAGTTCAGATATAAGACAGGATTTTAGATCCATGGTTGTAAAGTTTGTCAGAGCTTAGCGCTCTGTCCCCCAAAAAATTCTTGTTTAAGCTTCAGGCCTACTGACGCAAGGGTGGAAATCACAAAGATTAGTGTGAAAAGAATTAAATCATATTTCCAGAGCTTGAGCTTTGGATCAACACAGCCTCAATATTATAATTTTATGCTTTATGACTACAAGCAAAAATAAAATTAAATAATATAGGCCAGATACAGTGGGTGAGTTCCTCCCACAGTGAGACTTTCTGGTAACATCTGAATTTATAACTAAAATTGTCAGGCCCAGTTTTCTATCCCTAAGGCCATCTGGCAGGCCACATCCCCTCTATTAAACCCTCTGGTGTCTTAAACAGGGTAGCACAACCAAGCCACTTACTGGGGACAGACCTGAGATGACTCGAGCTTATGCTTGTTCACAGCATATTTTTCTGCAGATTTTAATCACTGTAGAGCAAAGAATGACAGAAACTATTTTAACAAATCAACAGCATGATTCAAGTCTAGTGCTCAAGCCCATGCCATACCATACCAAGCCCTAATGACCCTTGCTCTGATTTAAATCAATGGTGCTACCCATTTACTCTAAATCATGGTTGCAAATGGGAATTTTTTTAGCCTTTTAACCAAGTTTAGAGCCATAAAGATAATTTGGACATGCAGAAATTATCTGGTTTTACTGTGTTTATTGTCGTGAATGGCTATCTTGATTTTGTAATCGTGCACAATTTTCTAACTCTATGTTTGCATGCTTCTTTCCTCAGCCTGCTGCTTACGGCTCTGCTGTAGCAAATGCCTCTCTCCTCCTACCCCTTATTCAATACTAGTACCACTTTGTCACCCTAGGAAGAAAAAAGGAAAATTATACACAAATGAAGTACTAAGACTAAAGCTTAATATATCACAAGTCTGTAACAAAGCATATTGCATTTTGTTTTCTGTTTTGACTAGCAATGAAATATTTAACATTCCAGCTGCCCAGTCACCATAAAGCAAGAATCTGTCCTCTGCCTCAATGTGAGACTACTGAGGTGTGGCTGTGGAAGCTATCTACCCACCAGCAGACCTATTTACTGTTTGTGAATCATCCTATCAAAACAGGTGTTTGGTGAGCTGAAAAGTTGTGCAAATACTCATGACCTTTGACTGGGAAAAATATACGCATGTTATATGGCAGACACTCTGAAGGCAATGATAAAATAATATGCTTTACTGACAATAAAATGATGTAACAAATGAACATAAGCAACCAAACAAATTGGGAATTTAACATTTTCAGATATGAGGCATATGTTACCTTGTTAAGAGAATTAGAAAGAAATGCAAGGTGCTATGTAAGTCCTATACAACCTGCATAACAGCCAAACAACTAGCAGCCTGTTAGCTTTCCTCAGGCTCTGGCAACTTCTTCAGAAGACTGGCCTTTAGTCCCTGCTTTGAGATTGTTGCAGAACGTGAAAGGAAGAAAGCAAGTGAGCTAAGAAGCATCTTCAGGTTCCTCATTAAAAATACATTTAGAGAATTATTTCTAAAATACAACTACAAAATCCAGAAGGTGAATTTCTATGAAATTTTTCTCTAGTATTCCTTGAGATTGATTTGGACATATCGGAAGAAAACTACAGTCTTGCGAAAATGGTAGAGAACATAGCTCACCAAAAGACTGAAAGAATTTAGAAATTCCATGAAACAAATAAAAAAATTACCTCAGAGCAGTATAAGCAACTTTATATAAAAAATCTGAAGGTAGATAATGAAAATGTGCAATATCCAGGTGCTCTTGCAAAAAAAAAAAAAAAAAAAAAAGTTCATTTTGAACTGCAGGACTTCTTGGTAGAAAGGAAAGACTATTTAATAAGCTAAGCTTAATTTAAGTTTTTATTACAGTATTTGGGGAGATACACTCTGTTTTTAATCACGTGATACTTAAAATACTAAGTCTAGAGGCCTGACTGTAGTATCAGTTGTAGTACTAGCTGGTACAGTTTTCTACTGTTCCATGTTATTCTTGAACTTGGTATATAAGAAAATAACACAAAAACAGAACTGAAGGAATTCCATCATTCTTCATCCTACAGACACTCTGTCATTTACAATGCTAATAACTGAGAATTGATTGTAAGCAAGCAAGCTATTCTAATTTAATACCATAATTTGTGAATGTTAACATCTCAGTAAATAAAAAGAGCTGAAAATAACATGCTGAGCTGAAAATATTTAAATATTTTTAATAAAAGCATGTTTGAGAAAGACAATTTTTTGATTGATTTATTGGAAAAAAATGTAATATAAAATGAGATAATATTCTTAAAAAATGCCCTAACAGCTATAGATATTTATTTATAATTAATAAAAATATTTCTCACCTTTGTTAAATACTGCTTTAAGAGGAGTTAGCACTCCTACTATGCCTCCTTGCAAACAACATCAGAACCTTAAACAACACCGGAATTGCAAACAGAATATCTGCTATTCAAATAAATTTCTCTGTGGATAACACTTGGCAACAGGTAATCCCTATGGTAGGATCAAATCACCTCCTTTAGACACTTTATTTGTGCCTAAGCTTTAGGCGGACAGATAAGCACCCATTTACAGTAAGTGCCTGAGGCCCCACTGCAGTCTGCCAAGACAGCCAACTACCTTAACACCTGAGAGGGGGAACTTCTCTGACTAAATTTAAGCATTGACGTTATGTAAAAACACTCCTCACCTGAGAGCTTTTAAAGGCACATACCTCTTTTCCTTAGGATACCGTAACTTTAGTCTTTTACTTTAGCAACACGCTTTTTACTGGACTCCTAAAATTTAGGCAGTACTTTGATGAATTCAATCCATATCCATTGTATCTATTTAGGATACTCTTCTTGCTTGATTTTTTTATTGTTTTATTTTCTTGAAAAAAAAAAAAAAGCCTAATGCTGCCTCAAAACTTCTCTTGAGAACAACTGAGACTTCTATCACAGAAACCTGCAATATTTGGTATAACTTACAGGGAATACGCCCCAAGAATAAAATGTCTTCCTTTTATATCATTTTTCAATAGCAAGAAGTATTATCCATGCATATAAGAAGATGATTTCAGAAGGAAGTTTAGGAATATGTAAAAAGTAGAACCATGTTATTCCCTTAGCAAGGACAAAACCCACATCGCTTGTGTATAAGTCAGTGTTAGAGCTGTAGGAACAAAAAGGAAAAAGGTAGATGGCCCAGAAAATTCTTTGTTTTGTCATGTTCACCCTATACTGGGAGCATCCTCATCCAGAGAAAACAGTTTTTAAACAAGCTGTTCTCAGCCATACAGAGCATCACATCAAAGGATAGCATCAAGGCAATCTATGAATGAATAAATGAATGATTCATGGAAGCTTTAGTAATAGATAAGAAAACCCTATGGCAAATTTCTAAAATTGAGTGCCTATAGTGAGGCTTCTTAGCAAAGTCTAAAGCTCTTCAATTGATCTACCACAATATTTAAATATATACTTAACATTATTTTGTGCATACACTGGGGCTACTTAATATGCTTAGAGTCAAGTGTGTGCTTAAGTCTTTTCCTTGATCTGAAATAGAGTACTCAGTGTTTTGCCAGAGCTAAACTTTCAGGCCTCAGAAGAACTGGATTGTGGAACTACAATTTTTCAAACACAGAAGCAAGATAAAAGTTCAATTCCTATGGCAGTTGTCTTCCATTATTAGTTCTTTTCTACAGTGAAAGCTGTAGAAATTGTCTGTGTGCCCAGTGCTTTTCAAAACAGACTTAGAGGCCAAATTTTGGACACACACTTTTCTAATGTTATTCCAGGTTTCTACCTAATAAGGGGACTTATGTATGACCATGAGAGCAGAAATCAAAATGACACCACAAATACTATTGAATGAATATTAATTTGGAATTTTAGATTAACGCTGAAGATGACAAACTGATTCAGTTTGACTTAATATTTGTTAGCTCATAGATTCAAAATGTTTAACAGATTGTGAAAACTTAACATTACCGTTAAGACAACTATAGACTTCTTATAAAATCACAAAGTTGCAATATTGTGCATTAAATAACTACTTTCTTTAAGAAAATAATTTATTTTCCATAGTCACAACATATAATCTGATATCAGTTACTGTACATATATTTTCTTGCAATACTCTGACTGTCTATGAATACTGGATCCACAGATGCCACTTTTGCTGCTATAAAGGAGTGAATACAGTATAAAACTGCCGTCAGATCCTGAAATTCAAGTTCCTGAAAGAGGAAGTAAGGGAAAAAAAAAAAAAAAAGAAGAGAAAATGTGAATTCATATTCAGGTTTATAAACATTTTACATAAATACAGAACAGACTAGTCAGCAAACAACAATGGACTTTAAATGAAAATGTGAATCTTTATAAGGAACTGTAAAGTTAAAGGTGTTAAGAATAAAAGATGTATATCCCTACCTTGTTCACTGGCAGTGCCCCATGACAATTTAGTTTTCACTCTGTGCTACTTTATTGTTTACATTTTACATAGCCTGGACAATGAAAGCATTCAACTTGCAAAAACATTCAAATATTGCAACATATTTTAAGTATTTGATAAGTTGAGGATGTTTGGGAATGATGAGGTGTCAAGTCACAGCTGGGGAGGGTGACGAGGACACACTGTCAGAAGGAGAGTCCAATAAAGAAGCTGGGAAACCAGAGGCAGGGTGTAAACTAAGGTAAAGTCACACCACAGCCTGTGTATAGAAATATGGCCAGGTATGAAATACATATTCCCTAATTCAAAAAGAAAGGCAGAGTTACTCCTAGACAGTTCTCAGACTCCCTTGACTTTTTATAACGTTTTTAATCTTCTGTGCACAAGTTAAATTTCTTTTTCCCAGCCTCCCCAGACAGAAATGGAGTTTCTGACACAATGACAACAAATATAATACAAAAAACATGTTCAATTTACGTGATACTAGTATTTGTAAAGTCTGCAGGGGGAAATATATTGTGGGGACACTTGGGACAGTTTGTTGTTTGAGAAGAAGACGTTTGTTTTCAACAATGTGTTGGCCACACAGTAGTTCATCAAGACACACTCTGTACGCTTGCCTTTAAACAAAAAGCAGAACATTGGACTTCTGCTTTTCCTGTCACAGTATTTTATGGTATCTTCTCAACAAAATTGTTTCAAACAGAATATTTGGAATTCAAGGTTACTCTTCTTGAAACTAGGACACCAGCATAAGGTGACAACAAGCAGTGTTACTGGGCAACAGTAAGAGTAATACAATATTCAACAAGCTCCCAAGATATGCCCTTCCTGTCGTGTAACAGGCCTTACAAATTACTTTGTCCTTTACGAAACATCCACAAAAACTACAGGGAAAGACCTGCTCTGACAAGGTAGCCTAAGAACAGAGAAAGTTTTGGCAGCAGGCTGTCCTCCTTATAGTGCTTGCTCAGTGCACACAGAAGCCTAAGAGAACAATACTTTCAGCCCCTAGGTCCTGCAAATAATACGTAAGCAGAAATTTTTAGATGTGTGTAATAATTTGACTTGAGCAGGTCATCATCAGACAAACTAATTTTAACTCCTTCCAGAACCTGGAAACACAAGAATTTATCAATTAAACAGCTTTGAGAATGTGTTAACATAAATGAAATGACTCTCCCCTCCCTTCAAAAATTCTTCTCTGAAATTACTGACTGGTTTTCCTACAACTTTCCAAGAAAAAGTACCTGAATTAAGAAACAATGCATAGCCATTTTTGATGCTAATAGTTGAAGTAATAAGCAATCTAAACCAGATTATTATGACTCAATACAAATTACAAACTGAAACTTCCAAGATTATAAAAGAACAGCAAGCACAAATGACTCTTAATTAAAAAAATAAGGGGACAGACCAATATAACTGATAAGCAGAATATGCTATTTGTTACCATTCATATCTAATTAAATAAGGAGAAAATAAGGTAACATTGAGGGAAAAGGCAAAACTCTAACTTCTGCCTTTGCATACTTGCTGTCAACAAATTAAGAAATAATTATCCTAAAAGAAGAAAAATCTCTTGAGAACTTATATCAAACTAAGCACTTAGGTAACTGTTAATAACTGGCATTTGATTGCTGAAGTAACCATTTGGGCCTCATACTCAACATTAGATCTCATGAAAGAAAAGTGAAGCATAATTGCTGGTTAAAATTATTTCAAGACTTTAAGCCTATGTAATCTTTATACTGATTTTATGGGGCATAAACCCCCCTACTTTTTCTATTTTGATTATAAATAGAACAAATATATATAAAACAAGTTATAAAACAGGTTATAAAACAAGTATGGGAATAAGTTTCTTAAAATATATTTTATTGACAGTAGATGTCTTCTGTAAAGAATGTAAAATTAATATAAGCACTTTCAGAAAAAATGGTGCTTTTATTTAACACTCATTGTATAAGTTTTATAAAACTAATATAAAGTACACACTCATGATTATTAATGAAATAGAACTCATTACATAATAATACAGGCCTCAGTATATCAGTTCTCAGCTCAAGTAAAACGTTTACGTTGCCTGAATTACCATCTATAAAAACAATAAATTCTGAAATACAAAACCACTCACATTAATCTTAAATTTCTCCAAAATCAACTGACATCATCCAACAATTTCACCTCGGGTTCTGACATTCAACACACTGACCCAATGGAGCCAAATGAACTGAGAGAAGGGAGCCCTTCACAAAGCTTTCCATTTCTCTACTCTGGCTTTATGCACTTTTAATCTATAGATGTTTATTACAACAAGCAATCAGAGGTAATCTAACAGACTGTAGGCAGTATTTCAGACTGCTCTAACAATGTTATGTGAAGAGTTTTGAGATAAGAAAAGAGCAAAGACGAGAATGTCTCATCACTGGGATTCAGTCCTTCCCAATGCCCCTGCTGCAAAGTCCTCTTTGTTTTAATCAGAGTATGGATCAAACCGCAGTAGTCTCTCTTGTATATCTGACAGAAGTTGTCTAATCTGTTGCAAATGACATTTTGAATACTAATAATATGCTCTTATTTTTATAAAAGATAATCTACACACAGTTGAAAGAGGAGCAGTATTGCGAAAGCTATGTTTTATGCAAAGACAAGACTTTTTTTTTTTCCAGCTGATACTGGTGGTCCCTCAGTTAGGCGGATTATTTTAAAGAGTGCCACTAGTTCTGAAAGTCGTTATAGACATGGATAGCCAAATGGGTGGCATGCAAGTACTCCTCATGAAGTTCGCTGGCTAGCTTCTCTCCTGTTCTCTCATGTCTTCACTATTTTATGTTAGGTTGGTCGTGGGGGTGAGCGATTATCTGGGCTCATACAAGAAAAGCAGAGCTCTGGACGGGTCTTCCTGCAGGGCTCAGTTAGATGTGGTCAGCTATCGTGGTATCAGAGAGGTGGGGTTCACCTGAGGCCTCGTGCACCAGAGGCTCCCAGAAATGCAGTTTATCACAGTTGTATTTGACCCAGGAGACCAAAAATGGGGGCAAGGCTGTAGTGCTTTGTGTTTGAAGGATGTCTGATATCTGCGCTGGCTGCCTTCTCAATCCTGAAGTTGGCTAGTCACGGACAGATGTTGAGAAATAGTCATGTATATCCAAAGCAGAAGTTGAGGCTCAGATTTCTACAGGCTCAGGATAGAGGCTGATCAGAGAACTGGTGTTCTGGTGGTGTATACAGTTTGCATGCAGATTACAATAGGGAAAGGGGAAGATGGCTGGGGGTTAGGTTGGCAATATGAATTTGGTAAAAGATAGGGCTGGCCTTCTGGCTTAGGGAAATGTAGATGTTGCATAGTCAGAGGACATGGACACAAAATGCCTCTTAGCAAGAGATTATCTTGAATATGGTTCTAAGGGTGGAAATTTGGCCTCTTCAAGTAATGAGAATTTTCCCTTGAAAATAATGCCAATGACACTTCTTTCAAACAAATGCATTGCTCTGATTTTTTTTTTTTTTTCTTTTTTAAGTAACAATTCTCACCGTGCCCAGCCAGGCAGATGACTGAGTAACTGATCATTTTATTTGCTCTGTATCATCTAACACCACCCTTATGCTTGCTTGCCTTATCTGTGATTGCTGTTTTTTTCTTTAATTAAGATTGTCAGTTTATTTTTGGTGTATGAATCTGGGCACGTCTAATATTTTGATAACCAAAGCTATTTCAGTTTACAATACGTATCCTAACAACTGGATTAAGTACAACAAAGGCACAAGAAGGAAGACAGCAAGAGAAGAACATAAAATACTGGATTAAAGCAATGGGAGCACAAGACTGCAAAACTTGTACTTTGCAAAAAGTACTGCTGGTATTGAGAATATAAAAAATGTGCACACTATACTGACCTCGATCACTGTATGCGCTCAGCCAAGTAAGAAAAACATATGTTCTTGTTTTGTCCACCCACCTATGCAAGTTGGATTTATTACATCAAGAGCTTGACAGGCCTGTTACATCATTACCACACACACACTTAGTTTTACTGATGACTCCCGAGAGCTCTTGAATCACTGTTTGAACAAGACATGAGCCTGTATCATGTAAAAGGTAGGTAACGGACACACTGACAGATAGTGCTATTGTGCCCTGTGCATTTCATGACTTCTTTAAGGACATTGGTAAGTCTCAGTGTTCATTAGTTGTTTACCAGAGCACAACTATTACTACTGTATTATTCAGCATATTATTTCAACCAGATTAAAATTATAACCATATTGTTTGTAAAAAAAAAAAAGAACAGATAAAGATATCTAGGTTTTAGCTCCAGTCCATGTAGAAGTCAAAATGGGTATGGAGATTCTAAATTCAGTTCTATATCTCAGCAAGTTAAGACTGTTATAAACATGCAAAGATAATTTATCAGCTATGGCATGAAAGCTTCTTCAGCTACGGACTTTTATTTGGCCTCCTCTCTGTGACTGTCCTTTGCACAAAGAGCAGAAGGATAAGCTAAAATGATGCTCTCACCCTACAAGCATAAGAACCAAATCTATGACGTCAGCGTTCGGTGTCAGATAAATTACAACTCTATCTATCAATTGTACTGAAGTCTTTTAATAGGGATCTGGAAAAGTCTGATGGCTTTTCACTTCCAGCTTGAATTATTCCAAATTTTTTTTAGCACTGTCTACTGCTAAATCTGAAACACTTTTAAATGTTGCATTGGCAGATACAAACTTTGCTAATGCACAAGAAAGTCATCTGAAAAGTGTTTCTGGAGATGTTTGTCT